AAGTAACAATGGATGAATCAGTAGATCAGGAATTGGATCTCAGGCGTCGCCATAAATGCGACATTTGTAACAAAACATTCACCAAAACCTACCTAAAAAAACCACAAAGTCATTCATAGCGAAATAAAGAGTTCCAATGCACACATTGCCCAAGGGCCTTCAAACACGCGAAGTAACTTAACATCTCATATTAGAACTCATACCGGTGAAAAGCCTTTCGTGTGCACCGCTTGTGATAAAGCGTTCAGTAGACACAATCACTTGATCCAACATCTTCGTATTCATACTGGAGAACACCTTTCAAATGCAAGCATTTGCAATAAAACATTCAATCGAAACGAGAATCTGAAAAAACATATGAATGTTCATACCGAAGAACGTCCTTACACCTGATAATGTAATGGCAGGTACAAAGATTCGGGCTCATTGGCGAGACATAAGACTTGTCATAGTGAAGAACGTTCACATAAATGTGAAATTTGTGATAAGAGGTTCAAACAATCGAAGCATTTACAAACGCATATGCTTGTTCATAGCACAGAACGTCCGTTTAAATGTGAAATCTGTAACAAAACATTCAAACTGAAGGTCTGTTTATAATATGCACAAGAATACACATGCAGAACCACGATTTAATGTGAACTATGTGATAAAGCTTTTATTAGAGTGCATGCATTAAACGTACATATGCGTAGTCACAATGGAGATTTTCCACACAAATGTTCAATATGCAGTCGAGGGTTTGGACAAGCGCAGAAGTTAGAACGTCATATGCTCTCCCATTCTGTAAAGCAACATTAAATAAATAAGAAAAATATGTAATAAAAAAAGGAGAAAGGAGTGCTAGCTATTATGTGAGAAATGAGTTACTTGTTATATAAAAGTTTATTTAATGATTATGTAAATAAACATAGTTAATGCAAATATAGATAACGTTTATACTTTATTGGAGTAATTTATTAACTTCCTGTAGAGTAAAGTTTAGGGGGCGTTCATTAATCACATGATCGATTTTTTAAGGATTTTTTTACTACCTCCCCCCCCTTTAGAGATATTCAAATTACCCCCCTCCTCCCCCTCACTAAACATTACGCGTATTTTTAGTCACGAGAAAAAATGTAAAAATTGTATTTTTTTTGAAAATGTTTGGATTTTTTTGAAAAAATTTGAGTTTTTAGATTTTTTTTTTGGAAATGTTATTGATCGATGGATAGATTTTTTTCAAAATTCAGGTAGTAAATAAATACACGTGATCTACTATACCCCTCAGTCCCACCACGTGATATTTTGGGGATTTTTTATCAAACCCTTTATAGACTCCCCCTTATGGTAATCGCCAAAGAATCGAATTGTATTTTTTTTTTTGAAAATGTTATTGGATGGAAGGATAGATTTTTTAAAAAAATTCAGGTCCCCCCTCCTCCATAATATATTTTGTGATTTTTTGTCAAACACCTCCTCCCCCTAAAAGCCTCACGTGATTAATGAACGCCCCCTTCTAGTGATCTCTAAAAATCGAAAATAAAAAATTTTGCATATTTTATGTTTTAGAGGTTTTAGAGGTTTTTGAACATTTTGGCATACCTCAGGAAAAATGTATGTGTGTGTGTATGTATGTATGGATACAATTTTTCGTACAGGTTTTCGGGTGCATGGATCAACCGGTTTGAATGGTTCAAAAAACATTCCATTCCTATTGATAGGGAGATGTGCTGATTAGTTTTTGGAAAAAGGCACGTCCAGCCGTTTCGGAGTTACGGATCAAAGAATGCAAAAAATAGAAATCAAGTTTTTGAGAGCACGAAGCATCCGATTAGAATGATTAAAAAACATTCCATATGTAATGATGGGAAGAAGTGATGATTAGTTTTTGGCAAAAGCAGGTCGAGCCGTTTCGAAGATACGGAGCTAAATGTGCGAAAAATGGCAGTTTTTGAAAGAACTAAGCATCCGATTTGAATGGTTTAAGAAACTTTTTGCTTATGTTGACGAAACGATTGTTTTTAAAAAAAAAAATTCGATTTTTTATTTAATTTACAAAAAACGTAAGAATAAATGAAGTTAGCAAATTAAATTAAAAACATAAACTTCTCCCTGGCGAAGTTAGTAATTTAATTTTAGTTTGAATGAACTTGAACAAAAAATTTTACACTTTTCTCTTAATTACTAAGAAACTGCTCTGCCGATCGTTGCGCAAAATCGAGTTAAAATTTTGAAATCGGTTTAGCTATTTTTTTTAAGAAAAAGTCGTCAAAAATAGACTCACATACATATACACACACATACTTTTTCCAAATTTAGTCCCATTCGATCCAGAATGACTTGAAACATCGTGAATCAACATGAAGTTAGCAAATAGATTTTTTTGGCAAAAACGAACTTCTCCTTTGGAAATTTGAAAAAAATATCTTATTTATACAAGCTTATAGACATAGATAAAAAAGCGTATTTTATAACTTTTCTGTTAATTACTAAGAAACTGCTCCGCCGATCGTCACGTAAAATTGATAAAAATTCCTCATCGAGTTAAAATTTTGAAATAGGTTCAGCCATTTTTTTAGAAAAAGTCGTTAAAAATCGGCTCACTTGCACACGCCCACACAACCTTTTTTCAAATTTGGTCTCATTCGATCCAGAATGACTTGATAGGTCGAGAATAAACATGAAGTTAACAAATGGAATTTTTTGGCGAAACAAACTACTCCTTCGGGAATTTAATACTTTATGCTATTTACAGAAGTTTTATTTATATTATATAAATTTCAGTTTAAATAATTAATTTGTAGCAGAAAAATCAATAAAAAAAAAGAGTGCGCGTAAGGATCACACGCGATTGAAGTAAAACTTTTAATATTGTATGAGTAGGCAATTAAGATAAAAATAAAAAAACATCATATTTGAATTTTAAAAATCATTTATTAATAATCACATAACATCAATAACACAGTTTAAAACAACAACGATAGATTAATTGCTATCATATTTCATATATGATATAATAGGTTTGTGATAACTAAAATGAGAGACATAAATTTTGCTTTGTAAACTATGTACATTTCTGGAGAAAACAGCATCAATAGTCGAGCCATATCTTGTGGTTGAATCAAATGGAGAATTATTCATCGTTAAATTAAATTTATTATTTAAAAAATCAATTAATGGTTGAGATTCTTCTGAACGAAAATTGACATTAAAATCTCCAGCAAGAATTAATGGTATCTCGTTGTGATTAGTGTTTAAAAGTTTTGCACCCTCATTAGAAAAATGAAGTAACTGCTGATGTTCAATTCAATAATATTTGATATGTTTTTATTGGGAGAAATTTAAAGGACGACTATAATCAATGTTTGATTCTGTGTGTTCACACAGCGGTCAACTGCAATATTACCTACTTGTGTAATTTCATTAGGAATACCCAGTAATATCGTTGGCGCAAGAAACTGCAAAGGAGTCGCATTATGAAGAGTATCTGAACATGAATGATAGACATTAGACAGCTACACCATCTGCTCTTGAGTTTGATCGTTTGTATTGAGTAACGCAGTAATAGTTCTGAATATTAATTCGTTCATTATTAATCCAAGTTTCCGAAAATAACAAAAACGTACAACGTTTGTAGCACTTTATCTTGCAGATCAGGCAAATGAGCTCGTAAACTTTGGCAGTTAAAGGAAAGCAATGAAATGCCGTTCAAACTTATTATCTCACTCAATTTTTCTTCTTGTGTTATTAATCTACAAGTTGAAAGTTTTTTGAATTCCGTTTTTAAGTCCATTAATCCTGCTGGCCGTTTTCTTCCATAATAAAATTTTTTGTCGTTGTTTTAGAAATGATGAACAATCCATTAATGCTGGTAACTCGTGATAATGCAACATATAGAAGCTGCTGATTATGTGTTTTATTGTATTCATATACAATTTTATCAAAAGTACCACCTTGTGATTTGTGTATTGTGAGTGCACAAGCAGACACTAAAGGAAAATGATTTCTTTTGACAAATATGATTTTATTTCTATTCATTGGAATAGATGAAGATTTCCTAAGAATCGGCACAGCTGTCCTACTGATATTAAGAGTTTGAATATGATGTGCAGCTTTCTTCTTATTTTGTTACCTATCTTACCAGGAAATTCAAACCATAAACGTAGAAGTTCATCATTATCGCCACGTTCTATGTACTCTAATTTTCCTACACAACCATTAGCTAAGCCATCACTTACATCAATATTAGTTGTTATTATGTAAAATTTATTCAGAACTAAAATTATTTCATACGGCAAACCCCCGGTATCAATAACCGATTTTTTGTGAAACTGTTGACGAATGTATGATTGTTGATATGTCCAATGGCAACCTACACAAATATCCGTGGCAGTAGATATTATTTTGTCTTCAACGAGATTCAATATAAATTTATTAGATTCCATGACACATTTATTCTCTAAGAAAAGTCTTATTCCATAAAGACATAATACAGCAACCTCTTCTTTTGTAAAAAAACGTGATTCAATTAATGCAAGTTCATATAGGGTTTAGCGCTCGACTTACGCATGACATGACGGGAGTGGATACTCGCGACATCAGCGCTTACGGCGTCGTAGTGTTCAACTTCACGTTGGCATTTTCGTTGCATTTGTACGGATTTACACCCGTGTAGCCTAAAGAAATTTTTACACCCATATCGCGCCTAAAGAAGTTTTACTTCAAAAATTCAAATGTTAATGTTGGCACACTTGGGACATTTGACATAATAATACGACGCCATGTTTGACAGTTTTGACAGATGTCACATACAGTAGATAAAGTTGTTTATTATATTTGTTTTATTTATAAATTATAAATAAGTTTAAAGAAATAAAAATGATTAAAATATATATGCTAGAAACTAAATATGATTACGAAAGCATACAAAGATAAATGGATGGACGATTGTTATAGAAACAATTGATTGACAATGCATTGATTAACACAAAATGTCTTGATAAAAAAAAAAATTAAATATGGCTCAAGAAACAGATTCTCTGTCACTACCAGAACATCTACAAAATGTTCATAATATGAACAATGAAATATCTAAGCAAACAGATTCATTACATTTTAAAATAGAACCTCTAGATTATGCAGAAGAAGACGAAAATGGTGCTGAAAATTGTTCACAAGATGAATCAGAAACATATATTAGAGACCACCAAATAATCAAAGAAGAACATGCTGTTGAATACTATTCTGATGCCAAAGTTTCTGACAATTCCGAATCTCACAACTGTGAGACTTGCGGTAAGCCTTTTACCTCCTCCTCCAAATTAAAAGTTCACATGAGCACCCACAGACGAAATAAATCCTTCACGTGCACGTACTGCCAAAAAGTGTTCAAGCGAGCAGACGCTCTAGCTGTACATATCAGAATACACACCGGTGAAAAGCCTTATTCCTGTGAAATATGCTCCCGTGCATTCTCCAGCACCAGCAACCTAATAAAACACCGACTTGTCCACACTGGTGAGAAAAGATTTGAATGTGAATTATGCCAAAAATCCTTTACTCGAATGAATAACTTAAAACAACACATGATTACTCATTCTGGTGAACGTCCCTTTCAATGTAGCATATGTCCAAAGACCTTTACCAAACAGGGACATGTTTCTCAACACATGATTTCACACACCGGACAACGGTCTCATAAATGTGAAATATGTGGTAAAATGTTTGTGCGTTCAGAATCGTTAAAGAATCATTCTAACATACACACCGGAGAGATGCCGTTTGAATGTGAAATTTGCAATAAGGCTTTCAGGCTTGCGACTAACTTAAAAAAACACATGGCCATTCATAGTTCAGAGAAGCCTTATAAGTGTGATCGATGTGATAAGGCTTTTACGAGAATGGAAGGTTTAAAGACCCATATGCATCATCATTTAGAGCAAAAACATTTTAAATGTGTAATATGCGAAAGGGAGTTTAGTTTGGAGAAGTATTTAAAGAAACACATGAAAATTCATATCGGGGATAGGAATTTTAAGTGTGATGTTTGTGATAGGGCTTTTGCACGACCGGACAATTTAAAACAACACATGAAGAGACACTTTACAGATTTTGAATGTGAGGTTTGTTTAATGAGGTTTACATCGTCAAATATGTTTACCAGGCATAAAAAAACACATAGTGATGTAAAGATTTTGTATAAAGATGAGAAATAGAAGACTGAGGAATTCATTAACTTCCCATATGGTAGTAATGGGCCAAAAATCGAAAATGAAAATTTTTGCTTTGAATGCTTCAAAAAACATTCAATTCCTATTGATAGGGAGATGAGCTGACTAGTTTTTTGGAAAGGCAGGTCCAGCCGTTACGGAGATACGGAGCAAATAGTGCAGAAAATACAAATCGAGTTTTTGAGTAAACGGTGTATCCGATTTGAATGATCTAAAAAACATTCAATTTGTAATTATTGGGAGAAGAGGTGATCATTTTTTAGCAAAGGCAGGCATAGCCATTTTAAAGATACAGAGCTAAATGTGCAAAAAATGGCAGTTTTTGAGAGAACTAAGCGTTCGATTTGAATGATACAAAGAACTTTCTGCTTGTTTCAACAAAATAATTGCTTTTGGAGAAAATTTTTTGTTTCAATTTGTTTTTAAACAAAAATTGCACTTACTTAGTTGAATAATTAAACAGTATTATTTATTTAAGCAAAAACAAGTACTGGAATTAGTTATAAGTCTGTCCTGTGTTACTTTATTATATCTATCTCCTATATAAATATAAAACATATTATTAAACTAATGAAAAAAAAATATTTAAAGATACAAATTAATTTTATTAGATACTAATGTAGAAAACCAAATTTATTGTAAACAAATAACAAAAAATATAGAACTAATTTTAAAGAAGCACATAAAATGTTTATAGTCCTGCAATATATCATTTAAATAATTTAATGAGTGGTTTATTGATTACAATTTTTCCGAATCTAGTAGTTTTTGTCCCTGATTTAACATTTTGTGAAGCCTTTTAACTATATTTAGGTAGTCAGGTGACTAAAGCCGGCCACAGACGTAACTGTATACTTGCGCAACCTGCGACTTGCGCATGTATTCTGTAGCGTCTGTGGAGTGTTTTTGCGCAACTTGACAGACTGGTGCAAGCGAGTAGGCATGAGCACTTTTTCATTATTTTAATTGCGCAATCATTCAAGTCGGCAAGTTCATTCGTTGGCCGCGTGTGGCAGCACATGTCCCGTTTTTATTTTACTTTGTAGCAAATTCATAATACAAGTTTATGAAGTTATCGACAATTAAAAGTTATTAAATTAGCCCCCTAAACACTTTGAATTCTCTTCTGATGCTGTAAATACATAAATTAATAAAAAAGATATATTTTTAGGTTATGTTTTGACATTTATTATTTGACATTTGTGATATGCTTGCGCAAGTACTTGAACATAAACTTGAACCGTCTGTGGGCGCTGAAAAAATGCGCCTGGTTGCGCATTCATTCAGTTGCGCAAGTATACAGTTACGTCTGTGGCCGGCTTAACTAAACAAGTGCAATACAAAACAAAAGATTTACCATATAACTAAATTTGATGATTAAAATGCTAATGTATTTTTCGGTATACAATTTCCCAGAATTCCGTGGGTCCTGATTTAACAATTTGTGAACCATTTTAACTACATTTTGGTAGTCATGTAACTAACTAAACAAATGCAATACAAAACAGAAGATTTACCATTGAATTAATTTATTAATTATTAAAATTTTAATGTTTTTTCGGTATATAACTTCTTAAAATTCATTAGTTTTCGTCCCTGATTTAACAATTTGTGAACCCTTTCAATTGCATTTTGGTAGTCATTTGACTAACTAAACAAGTGCAATACAAAACAAAAGATTTACCACTTAACTAATTTATTGATTAAAATGCTAATGTTTTTTTCGGTATACAATTTCCCAGAATTCCGTGGGTCCTGATTTAACAATTTGTGAACCCTTTCTATTGCATTTTGGTAGTCATGTGACTAACTAAACAAGTGCAATACAAAACAAAAGATTTACCATATAACTAAATTTGATGATTAAAATGCTAACGTATTTTTTGGTATACAATTTCCCAGAATTCCGTGGGTCCTGATTTAACAATTTGTGAACCCTTTCAATTGCATTTTGGTAGTCTAATGTGACTAACTACACAATTTGTTACTAACTTCGCTAAGTTATAGTAATGGGCCAACAAGTTGAACATTTTTGCATATCTTCACGTTTTAGAGGTTTCTGAACATTTTGGAATACCTCAGAAAAAACTGATGTGTGTGTATGTGAAGATACAATTTTTAGCCCACGTTTTCGGGCGTGCCAATCATCCGATAAGAATGGTTCGAAAAACATTCTATTCCTATTAATAGGGAGATGTGGTGATTCGTTTTTGGAAAAGACAGGACCAGCCGTTTCGGAGATACGGAGCAAAGAGTACAGAAAATAGAAATCCAGTCGGAGCATTCGATTTGAATGATCCAAAAAACATTCAATTCGTGAAGATCGATGCCATACACCACTAGTTTAATTTTATTCACGATTTAATTTCTTTTATATTCTGAATCGATTTGAACTTCGCGCCATGAGCAATTATTATTTTTAATGTTGGTATTGACGCGGCCATGTTTGAAAGCGAAATGTCAAAATATTGATCCGAGTTTTACAACACTAATAATGTGATAAATAAATTGTAAAATTACCTAGTAAATTATGTGGGTCATATAAAAATCTCAATATATATAATTAAAATGTCAAATGAAGAAACAATTGTGCCAAAAATCAAAACCGAACCGATTGAATATTCAATAGAAGAAATTCAAGACGAGTATGATTGCGAAAAGGAGGTCTCGGATAATTTTGAAAGTATTAGATCTGAAAACCAAATCGAATCTCCTATAGACCAAAATGTATCTTGTCTCGATCCCAAAGAGAAGTCTCGCACATGCGAATTCTGCAACAAAATTTTCAACCGCCCCGCAGACCTAAAAAGCCACATTGTCACCCACACCCGTGAAAGGGCATTTCTTTGTAAATACTGCAACAAAACATTCGCACGATCAAGTTCCTTAAACGTCCACCTCAGAACCCACTTAGGCAAGAGACCCCATGTATGTAAAATATGTGATAAAGCCTTCACCAGATCCGATACTTTAAACGAACACATGGTTGTCCATGGGGCTGACCGTCCTCATAAATGTGACATATGCAACAAAGCCTTCGGTTTCAAAAGCAATCTGGTACAGCATATGAACACACACTCCGATGAACGGCCTTATAAATGTGATATATGTGATAAAGCATTCAATCAATCGGGGCATCTTAAAGAACACAAGCTCGTGCACACGGGTGAATGGGCTCATAAATGTGAAGTATGTGATAAAACATTTGCACGACCTTATAATTTAAAAGAGCACATGATCACCCACACCGGGGACCGTGCTCACAGGTGCAAGTTGTGTAATAAAGTATTTTCTTTCATGAGTAATTTTAACAAGGCATATGAATATCCATAGTCGAGAACGTTCTTTTAAATGTGATATATGTGATAAAGAGTTTAGTCGAGCTAATACTTTGAAAGAGCACAAGATTACTCACACGGGGAAAAGGATTCATAAGTGTAGGACGTGTGATGATGTGTTTTCTTCATCGAGTAATTTGAAGAGACATCAGAAAGTTCATAGTGATAAGAAAGAGGAAAATAATTTATAGAAAAAGACTTGCAAAATTAATTTAACAGTGATTCAGTTGAATCATGGACATTACAGTAATTTTGTATGTAAATAAATATATTATGTAATTTTTGTATAAATAAATATCATGGCTTTTATGATAACTTCATTATGAATACAATATTAAGATTTTATATTTATTTATCAATCAAAAGATCATTTACTCAATTTGTTTCAACTATATTATTTAACATTTTGGATATAGGTGATCCGAGGTCCTTCTTCAGGAACTATTGACCATAAAAAAAACTATTACACATTTATTGGCTTATTTAATTAGTATAAAATTGTAAAAAATCATTTTTGGTCTTAAGAACTAAACAGTTCCCAAATCAAAATCAATTATTATATATTACAAAAAATATATTTGAAAAGTTGGTATGTCCGTTTATCATCTTATTAGATGTTTAACTTTCATTTAAAAATTTGAACAAAAATGCAAACTTGTTACATCTGGTGTACCAGTTTTTTTGTCTTCCAATCTACCTCTCTATATAACTATCTGTGTACCTCTCTATCTGTTTACCAGTTTTTCAGCCAACCAACTTACTGGTACAATAATTAACCTGACCACCAGTTGACATGTCAACCTGTTTGCCAGTCAACAAATTTACTTGTCCACTAATTTACCTGCTCAACAATTTACCTGTGAACCTGTCTATCAGTCTACTAATTCACCTGCTCAACAATTTACCTGTCCATCGATTTACTTGTCTTCCAATTTACCTATCAACATGTTTATCAATACACCCTTTTACCTGTTTACCAATTTACTTGTCTATCAACTAAAACCTGTCAACCTGTTTATCTGTCTACATATTCGTCTATCTACCTGTCTACCAACTATTTGTCACACATACACACACATTAATTTTTTTTTAGGTATGACAAAATGTTCAGAAACCTCTAAAACGTGAAGATATGCAAAAATTTTAAATTTCGATTTTTGGCCAATTACTTAGGGTAAGCTAAGGAAAGTTTAAAAAAAAAGATATTTAAACAATCTTGATATGATATTTAATTTTTTTGCAATAATAAATATTATATCTTAGGCGAAATATTATTTTAAGCATAATGACCCAATTAATATCAATAAAAAAAGTATTTATAATCTCCGAGCAAATTATTGCTCCATATAATATATTGATATATTAAATAAATATTTTACATAATAAATAATACTTGATATAATAATATTTGTTTTTGTATAATGTTTCCATTGATGAACAACTTTAAATGTGTCAAAGCATAGAATGTAACAAATTTTATATAAAACTTTGTTTATTTGTTATATAAATTTTGACTAATGTTGACCTAAAATTAGCTAATTAGATTTTTTGGTGAAAACATAAACTTCAATTTCCAAAATCAATTTTTTTTTCAATTACATTTCTCTCTATTTACATGATAGGTTCTTCACAATGCACTTTCATATGATTCTTCAGCATCTGTTGATACTTAAAAGCCTTCTTACAAATTTTACACTTATGTCTACACTCCCCCGTGTGCGTAACCATATGCACCCTCAAATGTTGGGGCTTCAAAAACCGTTTATCACAAACTTGACAAGTATATTTCCTTATACCCGTATGCTTCAACATATGCTCTTTCAGTCTCGAAGCACAAGTGAAAGCCATTGCACACTCTTTACATGCATAGGGCTTCTCACCTGTATGCTGCCGGACATGCTCAGTTAATTTGTAGGGAAACTTGAAAGCTTTGGAACAAAAATGACAAACAAAGGTTTAAGATCTGAATGTCTGCGCTTTATGTGACACATTAATTTATTCCTTACGAAAAATTTCTGACCGCAGTGTTCACAGGCGTGTTTTTTTTCTTCTGCATGGATTAGAGTGTGGGCATATAAAGTTCTTTTGGTTTTGTACGACTTTCCACAAGTTTTGCAAGCGTATTTTCTTAAATCACTGTGGGATTCTAAGTGCTCTTGTAGATTTCTTCCGGTGGACAAAACTGCACCACATAGTTGGCATAAATGTGGAGGCTTAGAAGATGGTTTGATGGAGTGGGTTTTTATATGTGTTTTTAAATAAGATGCTGATTTGTAGATTTTATTACATATAGTACACTCGTGTGAATCTTGTGGCTCTTTTTTGATGTCATTATGAATGTTGTATTCACAGTTACTGGTATTGTCAATATCGTCATGATAACTGTGATTAGAATGATTAGATTGTACGTCCAATTCTATAACATCATCTGATTCTTGTTTTACAACACCAGCAGTATCCTGGTCATCTTTAACTTTCTTAACTCTAGTCTTCCTTAAAGCCTTACTACTCATTTTTTTATGTACATGTTTCTTTTCCACATCCATGACAACTTGATCATCATCACAAACATTCCCCTCAGCATCTTTTGGATCACCTAAAGACTTAAATTCTTCTTTAATATATACATTTTGTATTTTACCTTTGAGTTTATCCAATTTCTGTAAAGAGTTTCGACATTTGGTCCAAAATTTGTAGGCCTTGTACAAGTCATGGAGACACAAATCACAAATGTATTTGGGGTACTCGTCGTCTGGGGACACTTCGAGGGCTGTACAGGAGATGAACATTTTTAGAATTAAATTCTCATTTTCTGATAATTGTTTTTGTTCGATGAATAAACTTTGTAGGTTTTTGTCAGCTAAACAGGCACGACAAATTGGGGATGAATTAGAATCCATTGTAATAAATTGTTAACATTTTAATACATATTTTCACATATTTTTATTTATTTGTGTATTTGAATTTGATAATCGTGACCTGTCAAACTTTGAGGCCAAAGAGTATATTGTTGTTTACATAAAGAGTGGACTGCTCTTGACAAAGATTTTTTTGTATTTGTATTTGTTTATAATAAAATACTTTGAATCACTCGCTAAGATTTGAATTATTATATTAAATAAAATATAATAAATATTATTCTGTTTTATTCATTTGATTATAAATTTAATATAATATTTCTTTTTCCTCAGTTCGCATGCGCATCTATACAGATCGCGTAGAAGCCCCTCTATGTTCTATGCATTTAACATGGCGTCGGCTTCTTAAAATGACGTATTAGAAAAAGTTTGTTTTTATTTATTTCTCAAAGCTATTTACATAAATATACAATCGAATAACGTTCCTTTATTACTACACAATTTAATCAGTATTTCATTTATTGTTCGAGTATACGATATACTCGGATATCTGTATACGATGTGATGTGTTGTTTGCATAAAAGAAAGTAACAAGCTGATCAAAAGGATTCACGATGAATAGTTTACTAGCCGAAATTGAGAAGGCTTATTTAAGCCACATCAATGTCAATGAGTTGGATTACAGCAAAATGTACAGCTCGGATATATGTCGGGCTTGTCTGGGGAGCAAAAACCTCCAGTCCCTCTTTACTCAGCAAAGTCACATAGCCGATGGCGAGAGCATACTCTTAAAAATGTTTATTTCTTGTACAGCACTCGATGTCTCCCAAAACGACGACTACCCGAAATACATCTGTAATTCTTGCCTCGAGGATTTGTACAGGGCTTATGTATTTTGGAAAAAATGTCGAAACTCCGTAGGAGAATTGGACAAACTAAGAGGTAAGACTCATACTGTATATATCAAAGAAGAGACTAATCCCTTCCCTGATGTTACGAGACTCGACATGGCTGATATCAAAGAGGAAGTCAACCCTTTGCTCTACGAAGTCGATGTCAATCTTGAAGAAGGCGGAGAGATTGATATGCTAAAACCAACGCACCACCAGGAACAACAGTTCTCCTAAAAAAGTCACGCCGGTGAAGATCCAGGTAGAAGCGGGGCGGCGAAACCTGGTTCAAAGAATAAGAAACCAAGCCTAAAAAGTATGACAGTTCCTCTGATGAAGAGTTTTTTGAGTGAGATTGTGTCAAAAAGCAAACCACAGCCTGAAGTAAAGGCACAGAGATTGATAAAAGATGATGATGACGGTCATGACGATAGAGATGATGATTTTGATGATAGAGGACGAAGACTACAAACCTGAAGAAGAAGAAGAGTACGCTGAAACAAAAACCTCACCTGCTAAGAAGTTACGACGGTCTTAAATGTAACCAATGTGATAAGAAACTAGCAAGTGAGGAGGCGAGAAAGACTCAAACACATTGCCGGAGCTTGCATGCAATATTGCAACAAGAAATGTGATACATATGACAAAAGGTACAAGCATTTACGAATACACACTCAGCCTCATAAATGTGAGTTATGTTTGAAGATTACGCAACCTCAAATGCTTTAAAAGTCCATGAGCGTGTTCATACTGGTGAAAGACCATTCCCGTGCAACGTTTGTGGAAAGGCTTCAAGACAAAAGGACATTTGGACAACCATTCCGTTCGGCACACCGGTGAACGTAAACATTTTGTATATATTGTGACAAAACATTTATTCGAAGTTCTCTCCTCAACAAGCATCTCAAGACCACGAAGAGTACAAGTTGACCAAGGGATATCAAAGAAAAAGTACCTCCTGGGAGAGAATCTTTTTGTGCCAAATCTGCGGCAGGACCTCAAAACCCACAAAAATCTCCAACAACACATCATCAGTCATTCTGACTTTAGACCTTACGAGTGCAAAACCTGCAACAAGAGATCAAATTCAAATCTAATCTACAAGTGCACGATGTTAACGCATGCCACAGAAAAAGAAATTTGATGTGTGACCAAGGTGGGGCCAAATTCTTGGTACGAGACTCCTTAAAATGCCATATCAAACGACGACACTCCAATGTCAGACCTTATGTTTGCAAAATATGTTCAAAAGGATTCAAATTCTCCTACAAACTCACTGTTACGTACGACAGCACACCGGGGAGAAGCCTTATGCTTGTCAGGAATGCAGTATGCATTTGTTTGTTCGAGCAGACTCAAGA